ACACAAAGTGATGGTCAACCTGAGGTACATGATGCGAGACACACAGAGGGACACGTTGCGGACGATTCATGCCGGAACCCAAAAATCTACCAAAAAACCACAACGTTAAAAAAAAACAACACCAAAAAAGGAAAAAAAATGTGAAAAAAAGCGAAAAAAGCGGGAAAAGGAGGAGGAAAGGAGGAAGGAGGGGGAGGAGAGACCAAAAAAAAACCCCTAAGTCCCAGATCATTTTTTCTCTTTTCTGTTCAGCGTTGAAACTTTTTTATGTTTTTTAGTGTTCCCTCACACCAATTCCCAAAGCCAACACTCGAATGAAATAAGGTGCACTTTGAAATTTTCACAACGAGAAAAAATTACTGGGACTTAGTTAAAAAAAAAACTTAGTTAAAATTTTTAAATATGCCCCAATAAAACTTTCTCGTCTTGAAATTTTCAATGTGGTTCTCATTCATTCAAATGTTGGCTTCGGGATGATATAGCATGCATAAATAACTCGTCTGTCATAATTGAAAAGGTTTCAATAAATATGGACTTAAAAAAAATTATCGAAAGAATTATTTAATTAATAAATTGATATGATGTTAATCAAATTTAAGAAATGATCTTAATCGAATTAAAATTGTTCATATGACTTGATATGAAACCTTTACAATTAATTGAGACAAAAACAAATGTTGACTTGAACAATATACAAAGTATTGAAAAAAAGCCATAAAAGAAATTTAACAGAACTTGTAAAATAAAATATTAAAAAATGTTCAAAAACTTGAAAATTAAAAATATCAAAACTGTTAAAAAGCTCATTGTTATCCTTTAGAAATTGAATTATATAAATTTTAAAACTTGAATCAAATAATAAACTTGTAAACAAAATTATGTTTTGTCAATCATTCAAGTCAACTCTTCGAAACTTCGATTGCATGGCCTGATCAAAATTGTTTTTAGCAATATAAAATAAAAATCTATAATTTAGCAAAATAATCAAATAAATTTAAAATAAAATTACATTAAAAGACTTTTAAAAGCTGCGTTTAATTGACAACTCGGAAAGTCATATTGAATATTTTAAATATTTTGATCAAAACCAACAATCGTGTTATCATTAATAAGAATGTACATGCAGTCAATATCGCTACAGGGAAAACACATGATTATTGATACTAGAAACGTAATTCTAAAATTCTTTACCACAGAATAACAAACAACATCAACAAAGCTTTGTAAAATAAAGAATTTTGTAAATATAAAGGTAAATAACTTTACTTTTATAAAATAAAATAAAAATCTTTGCCGTGTGAGATATATTTGTTGTTGAAATATTATCTGATATACAGATTCTACAGAACTAGAGTTCTATCTGAAATACCATTAATTCAGGAATTGCACAAGGAGGGATGCCAGGACCCATTTTGCATATCCCTTACACAAATGATATTCAGATGAAAGTTGCTCAACAAATAAATGAAACCAAATCAAGTCATATTACTTTTACAAGAAGAACTCTGAGAAACCTTTTCTTTTAATTTATTATTTATGCAAGTATAATTAGAATAAATTAATGTCAACAAGAAGCAAAACCTATTGTATTATTGAAATTGAAATTATGATTTTTGAAATAGAAAGAAAAAATTAATCAATATGTTTTCCCCATAGTGAATTGTATAAAATCATTTTCATGCATGAAAAACATCACTTGCAAGTTTAACAATTAAACAAAGTGCGTCTAATATCAGTTAGATATGCAGGTGATATTCAACATTTTTGCACATACGTCTGCTAAAGTAGTACTTGAGATAAATTGTATCTAATTTGTATTTAGAATTGCAAAAACAATGACAAAATGTAGTTAAGCATAATATCATGTTAAAAATAAACATTTATTGAATAAAATCCAATTAAAAAAGAAATGAATTTAAGCTTTAGACATAAGCGTCTGTATCAATAATATTACTACGCAACTGTTTTAAATAAATAAATAAACATTTAGCAGATACATGTGCATAAAATACTAATGATGTATAAGTATAAACTTTTTACTACATGGACTGCTAGTTGAGCGCAAAATAAGTGTGTAAAGATAAAAGGAACTGTGGAACTCTCTTGATTGATTAAATGTCATATGTTTTATTTCAATAATATCATAATAATTGACTGATGATTGATAATTTTGTAAGAAATTATATTAATAATATTCATCATGATAGTCATTAATTACAATTAGATATAAGTATGTATGTATGTAAGCAAGCGTTCTGTGTATATATGTGTGTATAATAGTAATAAGTAAAAATATATAGATGCCTTAATGTAAGTCTGTTACATAAAATTTAGATTTATTTTTGTTATAATTGCTGTGATCTCACATACCTGAACAATTGTCTGTCTGAGATACAGTATGTACGAATTATATCAAATAAATAAAAAAAAAGTCAAAGTAATTCAAATATTATCCGTTATAGTTTCATTTCAATGATATAATGGCAATTGCTAATATCATTTCTTAAAAAACAATGGATGGATACTATGGAAAACATACGAATACTAGCAGTCCATGTAGTATAAGGTCTATGTGCACGAGTCAGCAAATATTTACTGAAATACATACAGGCTGTTTTGATTTACACAATACGAATGCAAGAAATTATTTGTTATATGTTTTAGAATCAGTTTATCAGTGCATTATTTGTTTAAGGATAAATTCCTGTTTATGATTTCAGACAAGTATTCATTGACTCTTCGATGTATAAAGTTTGCTTGGACTCACATTGACGCTTCCACAGGTTCCATAGAATCTCCTCCTCAAAATAAATCATCTAAAGCATCCGCCAGAAGCCCCGAAGCTTAACATTTGTGAATCACAACACACACTACTTTGATCACTGACTTTATAGACTTAATTTATAATTTGCAAATGTCCAAGTGGAGTCTTCGTGACTCAACACACGACACAACGAACAACAAAGCAACGAACACATTAGAGAATTTTGTGACCTAGAATTATACAAAATACAGATACATCACAGAAGTACTTGCAGCCTTCCGAATCTTACATACTTGACATATTTGATAAATGCATATATGAATAAATATAAAGGATACATTGGAAGCTGTAAATAGAGTATTTGATTATATAATTAATTAGAATTAAAAAAATTGACAGAGATAGGTTAAGGCTGAAGTACTTCGTCACATATCTGCTCTAAAAACATATCATCATACACAAATTTTATATCAAATTGATGTGCATAATTAGTAGAACAATATAATGCATAAATTAATAACAACTAATTAGAAAAACAATTAAAAACACTAATTAATTAATTTGCACACATCTGTTACAAAATTCTCTATAAAAATGGCGGCCATCAAGAACGAACTGCCATGAAGTACGAAACTAATCAAAGTGACAAAGTCGAAGGCGCAAAATTCAAATTTTAAAACAAAAAATTATCAAATTCGCTTAATATTTTTTGTTCTTAAAGGTTACAATGATAAATAATTATGGTTATAAAACATCTGCATAGTATGTACTTTAAAAACACCTGCATTAGTACACGTTTTTTATATTACAGTTAATTACTTAAAAACTATAATTAATAAACAATGTCCTTACATTAGACAAGTTTCAAGAAGAATAAATTTTGTATAATATCTTACAGATAGTACCATATACTGTTCTTTTTTCTATGAATACAATACTTTTTAATAACAATTGTTATGGTAATAGTTTAAACTACATGTTCCAGTATCTTTTGTATAAATTTTGGTTACAAATTGCATCTGGTCTTCCACAAAGTAAAAAGTGTTCCGAATAAAATTTTAAAATGTCCTATAATCCTGCAAGTGTATCTTCATAGTACATACAAAGTTTGAAACTTATTGTTTAAATACTCATTGACTTTTGCACAATTCTTTACATTTCTTTTAAGTTATAGAATAAATTTTAAGCATTTCATATTGCTTTGAACTACAATAATGTTTTTCAACATGTATAAATCAAATATCTGTAAATAAAAATATTTGTGCAATATTTTTTCTTTTATCTAATGATGGCCCATATCTGTGATTGAAAGAAACTTTAATTAATTAATCGAATTACTATTTTAAATAGTAATAATAAGTTTATCTATTGTCCAGTACTTACTATTTCTATTATTATTTTGTTATATTTTATTATTTTTTTAGTATTATTTTATTATTCAGAAATTTTATTTATATTATTTATTGATTTTATTTTTATTATTATTTGCTTATATTTTATATCAAATCATATTACGGATATTATTATTTAAATTTATGTTATTATTTATCAATATTACTAGATTTTAATAATTTAACAGTTGTAATACTTTTTGAAATTAAAAAAAAAAAATCTATGGTCGTCTTCAGTATTTGGTTACAAATTGTATCTTGTCTTTCACAATGAAAAAAGTGTTTCGAATAAAGTTTTAAATTGTCCTATAATCCTGCAAGTGTATCTTCATAGTACATACAATTTTTTAAAATTATTGTTTAAATATTCATTGACTTTTCAACAATTCTTTACATTTCTTTTAAGGTATAAATTTTAAACATTTTATAATGCTTTGAACAACAATAATATTCTTCAGCATATATAAATCGAATATCTGTAAATAAAAATATTTATGTAATTTTATTCCTTTTATCTTCAATTTATCAAATTTAATATAAATTATGCTTTTTCTCATATGTAATTTATGAATAAAAGTATCTTAACAAGTTCCTTTATGTTATTTATTAAAAATAAAATAATATTAATAATTATCAATACAAGTTTTAGAACACTTAAAGGTACAAATCGAGAACTTCAACTTTACAAAAATTTGGACAAAATTAATATATTTATATATATATATATATATATATATATATATATATACATATAATATTGACTATATTTATATTATATATTCAATATGATTTTTATGGTTTATTAAAAAATACTTATATCATCTTGTAAGTTGAGGTTGCTCCGATATGTTTCTTAATATCTCTGTGGAGATTGTTGTTTAATATCTCTGTTGATATTGTTGTTGTCCATATTGTTGACTTTGTTGTTGTGTCCTTGCAATGTAATCTAAAGACTTCTGAATCGCTTCAGGAATTGGTGGAGGAGTTGGTAAGTGAGCACCTTCTGCACGGAACCCTGGAGACGAGACAGAAATTAATAATGATGAATTAATAAAATAATAATATACATAATAAGTACAAGAAATATTTGATAAAACATGTACATAAAAAATATTTGTTAAAATTTCATTATGAAAAATATTATTAACACTTTGTGGTGCATAACTTTGCTAAAATGGAAATATTCATGATTTGTGCATTAAGTTTTTTATTATTTGACAAAATAAATGATTAGTAATATAAATATTTAATAAAACAGCAATGTTAATAATTAGTAGAAGAAAGAGTTGATAAAATATGAATATAAATAATTAATAAAAAATAATATTAAAAATTTGTGGTGGAAAACTTTGCTAAAATGGGAGTATTCATGATTTGTGCAAGATTTTATTTATTAATTGACAAAATGAATGATTAGTAATATAAATATTTATTAAAATAGCAATATTAATATTCAATTGAAGACAGAGTTGATAAATATGTATATAAATAATTAATAAAAAATAATATTAACAATTTGTGGTGGGTAACTTTGCTAAAATGATAATATTTATGATTTGTGCAATTTTTTTTTTATTAATTGACAAAATGAATTATTAGTGATATAAATATTTATTAAAATAGCAATATTAATATTTAATTGAAGACAGAGTTCATAAATATGTATATAAATAATTAATAAAAATAATCCTAACAATTTGTGGTGGGTAACTTTGCTAAAATGGGAATATTCATGATTTGTGAAGAATTTTTTTTATTAATTGACAAAATCAATGGATAGTAATATAAATGTTCAATAAAATAGCAATATTAATGTTTTTTGAATCATTCAAATCGGATGCCCTGAAGATTGTGGGCTAATACGTGGACAAAAAAAATACACTTTTCTGATAATTACAAAGAAACGGCTTGGCTGATCATCGCGCAAAATTGACAAATGCTAGTCCTTATCGAAGTACATTGAATGACTTTTAAATTTTTAAAATCGGTCCAGCCGTTTTTTGAGAAAACGTCGACGAAAGGTCAATAATCGACTCACATACAGACACAATAAATATTAAATATAATTTCTAGCATACTAGACAGTTCCTGCACATTGAAACATATTTTATCTATCCAGTATAATACGATTTCTCGCTTAAGACGCTTTTTTGGTTAGGTTTCTAATCGTTTCACCGGGGATTTACTGTAATTTGTTTAAATTTAAAATTTATAATTGAAAATAAACAATACAATTTTTAGTGTAATAAGCAGTTCCTGTACATTGAAACCTGTTGTCTCTATACTACGTTTTCCCGTTTAAGACGTGCTCTTTGAAAAAACGTCGACAAAAGGTCATAAATCGACTCACATACACAAAAAATACAAGTACTAGCAAAATAAGCAGTTTCTGCACATTGAAACATATTATCTCTATCCCGTATAATACGATTTCTCACTTAAGACGCATTTTTGGTGTTTGGAATCGTATTACCGGGGTTTTACTGTAATTTCTTTAAATTTAGAATTTTTAATCTAAAACGCGCAATACAATTTCTAGCTTAATAAGCAGTTCCTGTACATTGAACCATGTTGTCTTTATTCCGTATAATACGTTTTCCCGTTTAAGACGCGCTATTAGTGAAAACGTCGACGAAAGGTCAATAATCGGCTAACAAACACACAAACAATTAAATTTCTAGCATAATAGACAAGTTCCTGCACATTGAAACATATTTTATCTATTCCGTTTAAGACGCTTTCTCGCTTAAGACGCTTTTCTGGTCAGGTCTCTAGAAAATCGTTTCACCGGGGTTTTACAGTGATTTCTTTAAGTTTAGAAGTTTTAATCTAAAATGCACAATACAATTTTGAACATAATAAACAGTTCCTCTACATTGAAACACGTTGTCTTTATCCCGTATAATACGTTTTCCCGTTTAAGACGCGCTTTTAGAGAAAACGTCGAAGAAAGGTCAAAAATCGACTCACAAACAAACAAATAATAAAAAATTAAATTTTTAGCATAATTGTACCGCAAACCTAAAAAATTTACACCTATCCCCTGCAACTCACCAATAGGCATGGTTTAAACTTCAAAACAAGTCTGTTATCTTAAAACAACATTTATTAAGATTTTTTTCAATATTAAAGTGAAATTGTAATAAATCTTATAAAATTTCGACATCAAAAGTCAAACGATGATATTTTGCGTTGGAGCAAATACTCGTTTTTTGCGTAACGCAAAGGAGAGGTTAAATACTCGAATTAAATGGTAAATTGTAATGTAATTGTAGAAACAAATGATGAAATTTATATGTACATTTGTTTATAAATTTATGTAGATGATGAAACTTGTTTTGGGTAAAAAATTTGGTGATAAAATTTTAAGATATTTGCAACAAAGTAAAGGTTTGCACCGTACTTTCACGAAATTTATGCAATGTCGTAGAAATAATTTAGAATTTGTTTATTTGCAAAACATGTACAAAATTATATTGTTTATAAATCTTCTTAATATACTAGTATGATGAGGCAAAAAAAATTTCGAGATTTTTGCAAAAAACTAAAAATCTGTCCAAAGCATTTGTACCATTACAATTTTTGTTAAGGGTATTTCCAAATTGGTGAAAGGCACAAATTTTATTTATATACCAAATTTGTGTAAAATTTAATTATCTTTTGTTGTTGCATGTTGCTTTTAATGAAATATGTGTTAAATTTATCAACAAATATTACTTTTTAAAAATAAATTTAATGCCCCAAACAAAATTTTGAAATATTATATTTGTAAAAAACTAAAAACTTGCAACGTTTATCTTGAGCGATTTATTAACTACTTTGAATGCACAATATTTAAAAAACTGTTAATAGTACTAAAATTTTTTTCGTGCAAAAATATTCAAAATTTAATCATAAACAAAGTTTTCTCATAAACAAAAACAAAATTTTGAGTTATTCGCAAAAAACTAAAAATTTGCACTCTGCACCTTACACCTAGACTACCGCGAGTAACTTCAAGGTCATGGACCTGCCTTGGGCCACAACAATATATATATATATATATATATATATATATATATATATGTATATATAAATATATATATATATATATAAATTATATAATTATCTTACCATTTTCGTCGGCGATGTATCTGACCTCTATGGGGGTCCCATCGGGGGCTGTGTAGGAGTAGGAGCCCTGCATCACCTGAGCCTCCGCCTCTGGATTACCCGCGTTTTTCAAATAACCTTGCTCTTGTGCCTGCTGTCCATCACCTGTCGAATATCTGAGAAAAAAAACTAGTTGTAAGTAAAATTTAAAAAAAAATGGCGTGGTAGAACGTGGTGCAAAACTGATCAACTTGGGTCAAGTTAAATCCAATGGCTTTGTCAAAAGTAAGAAGTCGATACACATATTTCTATTTATTTTCTTTGTCAAACGATTCAGGATGACTAGAACCGTGGAGAAAACACAAAATTAGTAAGTCGGATTTTAAAATTCTCACCCGTATTGATAAGATCCATCAGGGTTGATTTCGTTATAGTATGAAGTTATCGGCACAAAAGGTCTCTGAGGTTGGTACTGCTGTTGCTGCTGATACTGCTGCCTCTGCTGCTGCTGATACTGCTGCGGTTGGTAGCCTTGTCTCGGGTACTGGTTGTACTGTGGACGCGCGCATGCGCAACATGCCACTGCTGCCAATATTAAAAACTGGGGAAAAGAAAACTGGTAAGAGAAAATGGTGTTTAACATGAAGTTGTTTCGGAAGAAATTGGTAAAAGACCAAATTGTTTAGCAGAAATTTATATAGAAAAAAAAAATCGTTACATAAAAATGGTTTAGGAAGATCTTATTTAGAAGAAGTATTGATTAGCAAAAAATTGTTCATAAAAAAAAGTTTAATAAAAGGTTGTTTAAGATGAATTTAATGAAATGATTTAACTTTTTTAATAACATTTTTTTTAATAACAAATTGTTTTTAAGAAAATTGTTTGAGAAATTCATCATCTAGGCTTGTCCAACAGGATAATTTACCATCTGGACTTGCCCAACAGGATAATTTACCATTTAGACTTGCCCAACAGGACTATTTACCATCTACACTTGTCCAGCAGAGCAATTTATCATCTATGCTAATTCAATAAGATCATTTATCATTTATCTAAGACTATTTATAATTTATCGTTCCCCTAGACTGATTTGTCCAAAAATCTAAGAAAAATCTCCAAGGAGCACAAGGACAAGGATGGTTTCTTTCAAAAGGCATTTGGTGGAGACGCTAAAAAGTTTCCAAGAAAAATTCTTTGAGAAGAACAAAATTGTCTGGCAAGAAAGTTTTTGAAAGTCTAGGAGAAATCTACAAGGACGAGAATGGTTTCTCTCATGAGGCATTTGGTGGAGACGCTAAGGAGTTTCAGGAAACGTCTAGTGGTGACATCAGGAACGTCCATAACAATTCTTTGAGAAGAAGAAAATTGTCTGGCAAAAAAGTTTGGAGAAATCTACAAGGAGCACAAGGACAACGATTGTTTCTTTCAGAAGATATATGGTAAAGACTCTAAGGAGTTTCAGGAATTGGTGAAAACACCAGGAACGCCCAAGAAAAATTCTCTGAGAAGAAAAAAATTTTCTGGCAAAAAAGTTTCAGGAAACGTCTGGTAGTGACACTAGGAACGACTAGAAACAATTATTTGAGAAAAAGAAAATTGTCTAGCAAGAAAGTTTTTAGAAGAAATTTTTGTAGCAAATTCATTTAAAAAGAATTCGTTTGAGAAGAAATTGTGTAATGAGATAATTATTTAAAAAAAAAAGATAATTTGATAATTTTTTTTGAAAATAATTTTGTTCTAGACTTTAAAAATTATTGTAAATTAATTAATAATAATTTTTATCATCTGTTTGATGACATGTAATAAAAAATATATATTCAAAAAACTTTTAACAAAATAATTAAAAAAAAGAACTTGTAACTAACACAATAAAAATAAGTTGCACACTAATATATATAATTAAATTAATTTCGTATTTAATAAATTAATTTATATATATATATATATATATATATATAATATATATATATATATATATAAATATATATATATATAATATATATATATATATAAAATATGTATATAATATATATATATATATATAAATTTTCACTAAAAAACACCAAAAAATTTACCGATTTCATTTTTACACAGATCGTCCGGAGCACTTCTTTACTCAAATAATATTTATAATAAACAAATATTTGTTACAAACACAAAAAAATAATAATAACAATTATTATTATTAATAATAATTTCTTTACAAAATCAAAAGCAGTACTGTCCTTCTGCAAAAACGTGACTCCGTATTTATACTTTCTGTCAGAGCCTCCAGATTACTCATCGGTGATATAAAGACCTAAACGGGTGCCCCCTTCTCCAGAAAAATCATACATACATTTAGATTAGTTAATTATTTAATTAGTAAGTTAATTATTTAATTTATAATAAAAATCTTAAAGGAATCTTGTTGAAATCAACTGTCAGGATTGCGAAACAATATAGATAAGTAAATAAGTAAAAAAAAGAGTGCGCGTAAGGTTCACACGCGATTGAAGTAAAACTTATTAGCTACTGTACAAGATGGCATTTAAGTAAAAATAAATACATCATATAACAATTTTGAACAATGTTTTTTAGTAATATTGTAACACTCGTAATGCACACATTTATTATTGTCAACCATTACACACATTTATATAATGATAAATTATAAATTATATATTTATAATAGCATTAAAAATATGTAAAACAATAATGTAATTAAAGTCATACTTCAAATATGACATGATCGGTTTGTCATTGTAATTAGCATTTAGAAATGAACCTTCATTAGAGAAATTAAGTAATTGCTGATTAATAAATTCTATAATATTCGATCACATAGTGGATTATGTTAAACAACGCCTAAACAAATATTATTTTCGCAACTTCACTCATCATGTAATTGTGTTTGAAGAACTTCATGTAATTAAAATTAACATACATTCATTGACTGATGGTATTATTTTCACTTTTTCGCTGGCGATATAATCTTATTCTTTGAACAGCTGTAATATTGTGACGATAATCATAATTATCGTCGTATTGATAATTATTGTCGCCTGATAGTCGTCAACCCCAGGGTACGGGACCATCCCTACCACTACCCCTAACTACCTATTGGTTCTTGGGGTCCATCAGAGAGACGCTCCGGAGATCCTGGCAATTAAGAAGTTAGAGCCAACGAAGACGTATCCCATAGGCGAACGCCTTGGGATACGTTAGTGTGAGTTTGTGTGTTGTTGTGCAACAGGACAGGTCCAGCTTAAAGGTCAGATATGTAGATTATAAGCTGTAGCTATTCTCCCTCATATCTCCATATAAGCATATATACCATGATATAAGAATAAGTGGTATTAGTTAGGGAACATGACCTTATGCAAGTACGGTCATGTTCCACAAATACATGCGGAATGTATATTAATTATTTTAATAGATTTAGTTATAAAGAAATCTCTGGTTTCATTCGTATAGTAGCTACTAACCCCCACAGGTAATTACAGGTACTTTAGCGGGCGATTGGAGTGTTGAAGTAACCCCTTCGTAAGGGTTTGCAAGGCTAGAAATATATTTGGCAGCCATTGCATACCCCTAGAAGGGGGCTTCAACCCCATCTTGTCACAATGATGAAAGCGTATCGATCCCCAACTTACAATTTTTATTTTATATTTAATAATATTTAATAAAAAACCAGCGAGTAGCTCCCACTGTTACGTGTTTCGGTTGTATTTTAATGTGTTCGTAATTTTTAGAAGTTGTAGGAATAAATTAAATTTTAAACGTCGCGCAATTTCTTATGTGTTTGTTTTCGTATGTGTATCGCTACATGTGTTTATCTGTAGTTTTGTTCTTAAAAGCGCGCGTATCCTAATATTTTGAAATTATAAATCATTGATTTGATTTTAAATAAGGCGTGAGTGTGAAACTTTATTAGTTGTTGTATTTTAATGTATTTGTTAAACTTTGTTATCTTTTTCGCGCTCTTTTTTGGTGTGCTTTGTAAATAGTTTTGAATATTCAATAGTATAAAATTTATAAAATAACAAAATTGTATTTTTTTTCTAATCGAATTCAATTTTAATTCTTGCTCTATTAATTTAATTCTATTTTTTTTCCCCCATTTTGTTTTTACAGTATTACAAATTATTACATTATTATGTTTGAATAGTAAGCAATAAAAAAAATAAATAAATAAAAATTATATTTTCACATAATCGTAGAGTGTAAGTGCATTTTTTTTTATTTCATTTTATTTTTTATTATAAAAATCGCGATAATATATCCACAAAAATATTTTTAATTTTCTAAAATAATATTCCAATAGTCGAATATATTTTTTCTAGTAAGCTCAAATATTGTACACTCTAGCGCACATACGCGCGGTCACGCAAACACATGGCCATTTTCGGAGAAATTTAACTTTCAAGTATCCTTTTTCAGTGATTTTGACCTGACCTGTGCGCGACACAGGCATGGCGTACAAGTGCAAAATTTCATACTCACACACCAGTGATTGTTAAACGGTTTGAAAATGTTCGCGCGCATAATGCATTTTGTTGTCATTTTAACAATATTTTTAAACATAAGTACGGATATAAGTACAGATAAACCAAAATAATTATGCGGTTTTCATTTATTTTTGTTTAGTTTTTTTTTATTCGCGGTTGTTAACAAACCCTGTAATTACCAAATTTTTCGATTTTAAAGACGAATGAGGCAAGATTACTTTTTACTTTTTACGTGCTATGAATAAAATAGTTAGGAGAATTTAATTAAATTAAGGTCTAGGTTTTTTATTTGTGATTTTTTTTGAATTATTAATTCAGAATATTATTTTAGACCAAGAAAGTTGTAGAAAAATATTAAGTTTTCTTTACTTATATAGATTAAATAGTTAGGATTTTTTTAAATAAGTTAATTGTTTCCTAGATAAGAATTTGTGTCTTTCTTTTTATGTTATTGTTGGTAAATTACTTAAACTCTTATGAGAGTTTAGCTAAATAATTTGTTAACTTTTTTTTCAACTAAATTCATAGGATAAGAATTTTTACTTTTTATTTTATATAGAAAAATTTAATTTAAGTTGAAAATTATTTTATAAATAAATTAATCAGTTTAAAGTTTTTGAAAGTTATCCGAACAAGTCAAGTTTTTTGTCACTTTTGGTAGTCAAGCGTAGGATTAGCAATTTAACAAGTTTAACAAATTGCTATTATCGTTGGTTTTATTTTTAAGTAATTTTACGGGGGAGAATTAGCATAAAGACTAGCGTGCTTATGTGTAAAAGTGTAAGAATTTTGAAAACTCACGGGGTGAGATGTTTGGCGCGTACGAAACGCGTGCAGAGAGTCAAGTTTTTTGAGCCAGGCAGACAGTGCCGATTCGGATTGTTAGTTTAACAAGGACTTTTTTTTTTTTCAAATAGTTGAAACATAGGCATGCTATTCATATCTGACCAGCTGGATTGTTGTATTATAAGTAGGTATAGAGTAATTGGTTTGTAGTATTAGTATAGTTTTTTTTTTATTTTATATTTTAACGTCGTGTATTTTCGTGTTTTTTTTTTTTTTGTAAGATGATGCAATAATGAATTAGTTTTAATAATTTTGATTATGATTATTAGTTTTAATAATTTGATTTTTGATAATGTTTTTTCTTTTTTTAAATATTTTCTCTCTTTCTTTTGTTATTATTACGCGTACTAATGTTGGCCTCAGTTCTGCTGCCGGGTCACCATTGTCTGGTGCTCTATTCGCGGCTTTATCCGACCGATCCTACTAATGATAGGATTGGGATATGATTTCTTTGCATAACGATCACAACGGCTATCGCGACCAGTCTAGTTATACATCGTATGCGGCACGGTAACGAAAGGACTAGCCAACCTTCGTTAATTAGAGCAGATTGCAGGCACATGTGTCTTTTAGAAGTCATATCTCTGCGGGCGCAGGGACAACTGGTAAGGGTTTCACTCGGTCTTGCCAAGTACGGACCTGTACCCGACGGTTGGATAAACGCTCTAGTTGTGTGCGTCATACAGCTAGAACGGCCAGTGACACTTTTTTTTCGCTGTTTTTATTTTCGAACTAGTAGTTTTTTTTTCTTCTTCTTCACGTTTGTCTATTCTTATTAATTTTAATGTTTTATTATTCCATAATAAATCAGTTTTATATCATACGCGTAACTTCGTCACTTTTTACTGTTTTTTTCTATTATCATTATTGCATTATCC